CTTGCAAAACAGCTCGAGCTCAGTGAGGTTGGATGGAGAGCGTTTGTGAACAGCAGTTGTCAGTTCTTTCCACAGATTCTCGATCGTATTCAGGTCTGGACTTTGACTTGGCCATTCTAACACCTGGATATGTTTATTTGTGAACCATTCCATTGTAGATTTTGCTTTATGTTTTGGATCAGTGTCTTGTTGGAAGACAAATCTCCGCCCCAGTCTCAGGTCTTTTGCAGACTCCATCAGGTTTCCTTCCAGAATGGTCCTGTATTTGGCTCCATCCATCTCCCCATCAATTTTAACCATCTCCCCTGCCCCTGCTGAAGAAAAGCAGACCCAAACCATGATGCTGCCACCACCATGTTTGACAGTGGGGATGGTGGGTTCAGGGTGATGAGCTGTGTTGCTTTTACGCCAAACATAACGTTTTGCAGTGTTGCCAAAAAGTTCGATTTTGGTTTCATCTGACCAGAGCACCTTCTTCCACATGTTTGGTGTGTCTCCCAGGTGACTTGTGGCAAACTTTAAACGACACTTTTTATGGATATCTTTAAGAAATGGCTTTCTTCTTGCCACTCTTCCATAAAGGCCAGATTTGTGCAGTATACAACTGATTGTTGTCCTATGGACAGAGTCTCCCACCTCAGCTGTAGATCTCTGCAGTTCATCCAGAGTGATCATGGGCCTCTTGGCTGCATCTCTGATCAGTCTTCTCCTTGTATGAGCTGAAAGTTTAGAGGGACGGCCAGGTCTTGGTAGATTTGCAGTGGTCTGATACTCCTTCCATTTCAATATTATCACTTGCACAGTGCTCCTTGGGATGTTTAAAGCTTGGGAAATCTTTTTGTATCCAAATCCGGCTTTAAACTTCTCCACAACAGTATCTCGGACCTGCCTGGTGTGTTCTTTGCAAGGAGGAATGGGCAAATATTTCAGTCTCTCGATGTGCAAAACTGATAGAGACATACCCCAAGTGACTTACAGCTGTAATCGCAGCAAAAGGTGGCGCTACAAAGTATTAACTTAAGGGGGCTGAATAATTTTGCACGCCCAATTTTTCAGTTTTTTATTTGTTAAAAAAGTTTGAAATATCCAATAAATTTCGTTCCACTTCATGATTGTGTCCCACTTGTTGTTGATTCTTCACAAAAAATTACAGTTTTATATCTTTATGTTTGAAGCCTGAAATGTAGCAAAAGGTCGCAAAGTTCAAGGGGGCCGAATACTTTCGCAAGGCACTGTAAATGTCAGTATTTTCACCTTGTTGCTGAAAAAGGACAAAACACTGTGAAAAACCATAACTTCTGCCAAAGCAGTAAAGTGCTTTCTACAGCTAAAAATAACACATGCAATTAAAAGAAATATTTAGAGAAGGTGTACTCAGGGGTTAAATTAGGCTGGAGCCCATTGGAGCTGAGCTCTGCCTCCTGACATTCAAATGGTACCCAGCCAGAGCTGCACTCCATCTCCTTCAGTTTCATAGAGATGTAGGCATTCAAAGTGTCACTCCTCTGCTGCAATAGGTGGCCACGTTTCAGAACTTTTGTAAACTTCATACTTTTGAAATATTTAGCTTTATTTTGAAAATCTTGCCCCATTCAAATGAATGGGGACATTTTTGCTTCTGCATACTTTCAGCTATTAAAATGTTCAGCTGTTCAAGGACATTCATGCTTCTCTTCAGAATGTTTGTAAACGTCATACTTTTGAAATATTTAGCTTTATTTTGAAAATCTTGCCCCAATCAAATGAATTGGATAATTTTGCTTCAGCACAATTTCAGCTATCAAAATGTTCAGCTCTTCAAGGACATTCATGCTTTTCTTCAGAACTTTTATAAACTTCATACTTTTAAAATATTTAGCTTTATTTTGAAAATCTTGCTCCATTCAAATGAATGGGAAAATTCAACTTCAGCATAATTTCAGCTATCAGAATGTTCAGCTCTTCAAGGACATTAATACTACTATTCAGAAGTTTTCAAAACTTCATACTCTTGAAATATTTAGCTTTATTTTGAAAATCTTGCCCCATTCAAATGAATTGGATAATTTTACTTCAGCATAATTTCAGCTATCAACATGTTCAGCTCTTCAAGGACATTCATGCTTTTCTTCAGAAGTTTTCTAAACTTCATACTTTTAAAATATTTAGCTTTATTTTGAAAATCTTGCTCCATTCAAATGAATGGGAAAATTCAACTTCAACATAATTTCAGCTATTTCAGTTATCAAAATGTTCAGCTCCTCAAGGACATCCATGCTTCTATTCAGAATTTTTCTAAACTTCATACTTTTAGAATATTTAGCTTTATTTTGAATATCTTGCCCCATTCAAATGAATGGGAAAGTTCTACTTCAGCATACTTTCAGCTAGAAAATCCATTCAGATGTCAAAATATTCAGCATTTTCAGGGCGATCCTTCAGCACTCAGCATCCATACGCATTTTCTTCAGAAAATGCATTTCTCTAGTTTGCTAATGCATTTTTAGGTGGCTACGCTAGTTTAACTCATGGTGCATGACAATGCGCACTGTGTGCACTCTGATTGCGTACATGCATTAGTCTGTCCTACTTGGCTTCATAAGGCAGTGAATGTGTGGACTCTCTAGGCTCTCTCCATGTTTTTGATGGTTTTAGTAAAATGAATGACATATTCGATAATGTCAGCTTGCACATTGTTTAAACAGCAGTTAAGATATTATCATAGATGGTATATATCGCATACCCCTATTGCATATTTTTATGATATTTAAAGAGTTTTTTTTTGCACATTTCCATTAGCAGCTGAAACGTGTTGGAGAAAACACAAGCAACCAAAGCTGAGCCTTACTACTGACCGCTTTTGTCCACAATGATTGGTTGCACAGATTTACAGTAATGGCAGATGAACTGAAAAGAGTCAGGGACCTTGTACAATCTACAAAAACAAAACAAACAAACAAAAAAACTACAGCGTACAATATAACGTTATAGTATATTCTCATATATTTCATCTCATATTTCTTCTGCACTCTTTTAGCTGCTGTTCTTTGTACCACTTTCACATTCACACAGTGTCACTGGCCTTCTACAAAGTGGCAGGAAGATGGCAGAGGTGGCCACAACAGTCCCCAGGAATTTCAGTGTATGCATAGTGTCTTATCGTCTGAGCCACTGCTGCACACTGCTGAGTTATTTAGGTGAGTTAAGCTTTAAAATGTTAGCAAATTTTTCTATGCCCAGCAGCAAAGCTAATAGCAGATAGTTTATGCTAGCACAAATGCAGCAATAATAACTTGTAGTAGTTAAAGTGCCCATGGCATGCTCTTTTGCTTGTTTCCAGCCATTTAATGTTTAATCTCGGGTACCTCTAGATTAGCCTGGCACCCCTCATAACTCCAAATAGTCTGTAGTTATTTCAGAATGATACAACCAGAGATCCTCTTCCTAAAAACAAGAGGATAGTTTCTGAACACGCACACCTCCTGTTGCCAGAGTTGTGTTGCAAGTGCACAGCACAAGGAACCACAATGGCATTAATTAATTTGAATGTCTCCTCCATAGATACTGTAGGTAAACAACAGTATATGTACTGATGATGAGAGATGTGTAACACTCGAAACAAAGTGGGTAACTGAGAAACGCGAACATTTAACTGGCATAATGCAGACATAGTAACTTTCAAGCCTTACAACAATTCTCTCTAAACAGAAACAAGGCATTAACAGACACGCAACGTGTTTTTTTTAAACTTGCCGTTAAGTCCCACTGAGTAGCGGAAACATCACTCGCTTTCAAGTAGGTAAATCCAACCAGTAGTCGCTGTGTCTTCCCCCTCACGACCACATACAGTCCCAAAGTAGTGAAATTATTTCCAACAGGTAGCGTAGCACCGACAATAACATCATGGATTGTTAATCCATTCGTCCCTGGTAGGCTAGTGGTTAAGGCGCAGCACTCTCGTCTCTGTGGCCCGGGTTCGAATCATTGTTGCGTCAGTGTAACGATTTGCTGTGACGACCCCTAAATGGGAAAAGCCGAAAGTGATTTTCATTGTTAATCCCCTCATTAACCAGCAACACATCACATGCACCAGACACACTGGTCTCAAGCTGTCAAAACAAACAGGTACTATTCTCTGGGAGAATCCAGCGTTGATAAACTGATCATTCACTGCCATGAGCACTTCACTCTTAGAGTGTAGGTCTGCTTGTGGTTCCTAGAGTCCACAGAAGTAGAATGGGAGGCAGAGCCTTTAGCTATCAAGCTCCTCTCCTGTGGAACCAGCTCCCAGTCTCAGTTCGGGAAGCAAACATCTTCTCTACCTTTAATAATAAACTAAATACTTTCCTTTTTGATAAAGCTTATAGTTAGGGCTGGATCAGATGACCCTGAGCCTTCCCTTAGTTATGCTGCTATAGGCCTAGACTGCTGGGGAGCCCAAATGATGCTCTCAGTTTTTATATTATATTATTATTATTATTATTATTAATAATATCGGTAGCCTTCCGGCTCGTTGTAAAGTGTCATCAGACGTCTTGCTTATGATTTGGCACAAATAAAATTTAATTGAATTGAATCATTTCATTAACCGTTTGTTTATTTATTTATAGTATAAATTTTGTCCAGCACACAACCAAAGGTGAAAATCACCCCAAAATATATTTATTGTACTATCGTCATTTCACCACCAAGGGCGTGTTCCTACAGTGCGCGTATGTTCGATTTAAAGTGCAAAGCGACCGTGCGGGCGGGGTTAATGTTTTACACTAACGGAGTTTCACAAAAATTTGAATTTTGTAACAAATAAAATAATCATAAATAATATCTTAACTTCTTTCGTTATTACAGGAGCTTTATTAAATATATGTAGTTAATTTAACAGAATAAACTCCGCTCATCTGGACCACGCATTAGTTACACTTAAATTAAACGACGCCTTGAAGTGGCAGGCTCTGTATCCAATGAAACTTCAAGGCTTGGACTGAGTGATATGATTTCAACCAATAGATTTTCTGTGACAATATGAGTGACAAACATTGCATTTGTAGTGGGGGAAGGGGTCGCTGAAGTTGACGGAACCGCCATCTTGAAAAGTGCTTTGAGCTGAGCTCCTCTTTTCGCGCCGTCAGAGTCAGTTTTAAACGCGTTATTTTCTTTACCGGGGTTCCGTGTTATTCATGTGTTCGTACTGTTTAGGCCCGGAGGTGATGGGAAGATAAATTGCATGCTGGAGACTCGCCGTTTACCGTTGTCTATAGGTAGGTACACTTGCCAGCCCGTGTACTTGTTTGGTGTTGAAGAGACGATTGAGTCAGTAGTCTTGGGGAAGCCGGCTAATGTTAGCTGGCTAGCAAGAGGCATACTTGTCTATCTTAACGTTGTGCTGTCAGACACTCTGTACATCTAGCTATAGCAAGGGTAACGTTAACATTGCATATCAGTTTTAGTAGGTATAATAAAGTAATAGCGTTATGTATTAGGTCAGCTTGACAGCCAATTGCCGTTAGCCTCCAAGCTCTTTAATATTGGTTATAAGTTCACGGTAACGCTAATTTGTTCCCCTTTTTAGGTGGCCAGGTTAGCTAACAGTAGCTACCGATAACGTTAGCTAGCTAATGACGTTAGCCAGTTTGCCGGAGCCGGTGTGTTTCTGTTGCGTTAGGGCTGTTTGGGGTTCTGGTATGTAAATGTACGACTATAACGTTACAGCAATACTATTTTGGCAGCAAAATATAAATGTCGCTAGTCAGTCTAACCCTGTATAAGACAGGCGGTTGTTGAAATTATTAGTTGGTGTTTACCGGTCCTGTTTAACGTAGCAAGCAAACAAATGCGTTTTACCTTATTTTATTTGTTTTACTTTTAAGTGCGGCTGGTAAGTAGTTTGGAAAATAGTCAATCTAATGGTCACACGCTGCGGTTGCTACAGCATTCTGGGACATGTTAGTCAGTTATTAACGTATTGATCAGTTTGGTATCGGTCTTGTGACAGTGGCTGCTGTACTAGGGCATCATGCACTTTGTTAAAGCTATAGGAATGTGTGTTTTTTTTATTGCTTTTTTTTTGGTTCCTTATTTTAATTGCCTTTAACGTTTGGTAACTTGTGTTCCTTACTGTTATTTTATTGTGTTTGAGGGCTGATTAAGGTTTCACCATGATAAAAGGATAAACTGTATCTCTTGATGACTGTCTGAATAATGTGTGGTTATGGATGTATTTTATTTATTTATTTATTTATTTATTTATTTTTTGCCGTCCCTGGTAGGCTAGTGGTTAAGGAGCAGCGCCGGGGTCGAAACGGAATCGGGGTTGCGTCAGGAAGGGTATCCGGTGTAAAACACGTGCCAAATGTCAACATGTGAGTCGTTAGATTCGCTGTGGCGACCCCTAGAAACGGGAAAAGCCGAAAGTGACTTTCTTTCTGTGGATGTATTTTTTTTATTGTTGCAGTACATCTACTGGGGGTAGACAGCTGTTGCTGTGTTAATACCTGTAAAAGGGAAAAGAACGTGAAAATACTAGGTAATAATTATGAATAGCCACATTTCAAAGTAGGTTTGAGCTCACAGTGGCTAGCACCTAACATTTTTTTTTATTACATACATTCATGGCCAGACATATCGGCCCGTCTGCATTTCTGTCAGGTAATGCACCACTTCTCCCAGAAAATTGTGCAGTCACAAAGTCTTTGGTATTCTCATGTTTATTTCTTTTGTTAGTGTTGGAACAACACAAAAAAGCAGAGAAAGAAAGCCAAATCTGATACACTGTTTAGGTTATAATTTATTAATTCGGTAACTTTGGAATCTGTGAATATGTGAGTATTTCTTACCAGGACATATTTTATGCTACTTTATTAAGTTTTGATATTTCTTCAGGAAATAAAGTAGCCATTTAGATTCAGAATATCTGGTCAGATGGAGTAATGCGAAATTGCAGATTTGCTCCAACATATTCAGAAATGTGAATACCAGCACACCAAGCTGTCCCCACTGTGTTCGCTTTCCTGTTCATCATCAGACTCAGACTGCACTGAAATGTCCTGCTGTATCAAATTGAAAGCTGATTACCCACTCAAAGTACAAGTATCTGAATAGTCAAATAATTGGGCCCAGCCATATTAATGAGGACTGTCAGCCTACTGGCGAGCTGCATGTAAACAAAACTCTAATCTTAAACATGTTTTTACAAAGAGTGTAAACGATTATGTGGGAGAAGTGGTGGTTATTTGACAGAAATGCAGAGGGACCAATATTTTTGGCCATGACTGTAAGTGCAGCTGGCTGTGAGATGGTTGACAAAGGGCTGTCTACAAAGTGCAACACTGAAAAGAGATATTACAAAAATATTCAGTAGCTTTGCTCTAAAAGGATAAGGCTGGTTATTTGTTATATTAGACGTTTTCACAGTTTCCCAGAGAACTAGATTTTACTTGCTGCAGCATTAAATCTATATGTGGAGGTCAGTGGAGATATTGTGGCTACCTGCCATAAAATGGGAAACAATGGTCTTTTCAACAGCAGTGGTATATTTCCCTGATGTGTTTTTAATAGTTTTTGAACAACAATGGAGGTCTGTGGCACAGACAAACAAGCTGGTCCAAGACTTACAGCTGACAAACATTAAATATGAATAACTGTTGGTGTTAGTTTCTGTATATTGATTGCTGAAGATACGATTAATATAGGTGACTGACCTTATCCTTAAAACACATTTTTCCAAACTAAATTGTGATATAACCAACAGAACCCCAGTGACATATTAAGTGACTTTGGTGAATAAAAGTTAATATTTTTGTAGTCTCTTTTTGGTGTTGCAATATGTAGATCCCCGCACACTCACCTTGTTCATGGGTATGTCTGAATGAAGCCCAGAGGAACCTAACATAAAAGTGTCCTATGTCTGAATGACAGAAAGCTGTCACTTTAAGACACTGCAGTTTTAGGTATCATGTCTGAAAAGGGCTATACTGTATAATCGGGTGTTGCCGTGCAATCTCAGCTGAGGTCAGAGACATAAGCAATTGTGGATTGTAATTGTTTTGGATAATGCTGTTATTAATGATCTACTTTTTATCCTTCAACATTACATTCCCTATTTTGTCTCATGTACATGCACCATTGTAAAAAAGCCTCTTTAGAAATCAAATTAAGCATATTTGTGGCAAAGATATTGGGGCAGGAACTGGTACTTGAGAGTCAATGATCTGACATGAGAGCAACTCATGATCTGTGCTAAATACAAAATACCTTGCATATGTCCTGATTCATTTTTGTTATAGTTATTATTAATAGCAGATAAAGTATTTCAGAAAGGTGCAGCCTCCCCACTGCCATCAATTACTGCAAAACATGGAGCTTTGAGGCGCCCGTGTTGGGGATTGTAAATACTGTTATTCACTTTAGGGGTGTGCGATATTTTATTAGGTGGTGCTTCAGGCTTTGAATGTGAAAATATATTTTAAGTTATGATTCAGGTTATAAGGAATGTGTAAATATTTTGGCTAAACGTATTATCAACCCTCCCACCCACCATTTCACCACTGGAGGTTTGATGTGTTACGGTCTCCATTTGGCCTGAACGAAACCTTAATTATCAAAATTGCTATAATATCCATATGAATAACAGTGGAACATTCCTTTAACATGTTTCCATCTTTTTCTGTTTATGCCTCACAGGTGTGTGCTGTTGAATTGCTGTATGTGTGCTGTTTGTCAGTCTGTCCCTCATTGCTTGCTTGTCTCCGTCTGGCGTGCCTGGAATGGGCCAAAACTCCCAAAGACTAGAACATAACTCTTTTTAACCCGAGCTCCGCCAGCTGGACTCCAACACACTCAAAGGTAGGCTGAAGATGGAGTTTTTGGTTAACCTAGCTGTTCAGTCATTACAGGCATCTGATCTGATCATCTCTGATGGAAGATCTAATGTGTTTTTAGAGCCAACATGTTTTGGAAATTTGATCTCCACACCACATCCCACATTGACACTCTGCTAGAGAAGGAGGATGTGACACTGACGGAGGTGATGGATGAGGACGATGTCCTGCAGGAGTGCAAGGCCCAGAACCACAAACTGGTTGACTTCTTGCTGAGACCACAGTGCATGGAGGACCTTGTCACCTTCATCACACAGGAACCCAGTGCTGATGTTGAAGAGAAGGTTAAATACAAGTAAGAGAAAATGGTTTCCAAGGGTAAGGGGGAACAAAAAGATCTGGTGTGTTTCCTTTAAAGATGTATTTGCTGTGCTGATTACATGTACTACAACTAGTTCTGTCAGTCAGTTAAAATATTTAATTGCCAACTATCATCCATAGTTAACTCATGATTAATCGCACATTTTTTTTATCTGTTCAAAACACTGGTGGAAGTAACTAAGTACATTTACTCATGTACTGTACTTGAGTACAATTTTGTGGTATCTATTTTCATTTTTTATACTTTTCATTGTACTTTTTACTCTACTATAGGGATGGACACCCTTAACTGTTTAGCCATTAACCACTGATAAGGATTCCAGTTAATACTATCATTTAAATGGTTAAAAAAAAAACATCCTTGGTAGGCTAGTGGTTAAGGCACAGTGCTCTTGCCGCTGCGGCCTGGGTTCGAATCAGGGTTGCATCAGGAAGGGCATCCGGCGTAAAACACGTGCCAAATGTCAACATGCGAGTCTGTGGTGCGATGATTCGCTGTGGCGACCCCTAAACGGGAAAAGCCGAAAGTGACTTTCTATTTAAATGGTTAAAAACTATTTTAAATGGTTTGCTGAAAAATAGGCTATAGGGCCTACATATCAACTCGTGGGCATGTGGTGGAAAGCTAATCAAACATGCTTCCCCAGGCTGGACACTATCTTCGCATTACTGGGACATGGTACCACTGGACTGGCTATTCGCTGCCACGGGTCTCTCAGTAAACGTACTAATCCCACAGCATGTTGACATGTTAGTGTTTCTGAACAAAAACCACTAGGCTGAAAATTTGTTTTGTTAGCCTATTGGGGATTTTGATTATTAAGCTGAGAGTGGAAGAGGAGTTTTTTGGAGATTTCATTGTGCTCTTGGTGCTTGAAGTGGGCCAGTACGTAGTACCAGCACTTCTGCATTTTACTCTATGGCATACAGGCACTTCTTGCAACCTGCTGGCACTATTTTATTCCCTCTGGATTTGAAATATGCTGTCTCTCACTTGGACAACTGTACTGCCCTCGCGCTACGTGTCTCGGTAGAACTAGACAGTCAGTTAACGTTAACTCAGAATCCAAAAAATCAAACAAGGCTTGCTTTTCTTGTTATTTCTTTTAGTCGTTTTCCAAGTTATGATTTTCTTGTAAAACTGTAACAAATACAAACAAACATAGTACATTAATTAAACACAAGGTGAACGGACACTAATTGGACATATTATTTTACACACGAACGTCTAAATGTCTACTTTACATATTAGACCACTTTAAATCAATAATACTGTATTTACTTACAGGCAAATAATGTCCAAAACTCAAATGAGAAGACGATGTCCGTTCTACAACAAGCTAACATGAGCTCAATGGCAAAAACGGAAGTGAACTTCAACAAAGAACAGACCTATGAAAGACCACAAGGTGGCAGCTTACTCACATCCCTATAAACTATCATAATAAACTATCATAATGTGAAAAGCTAAAACTGCATTTCAATGAAAGGCAGCACAACAACAATAAACAACAGGAGCAGGGGTGGTGACAAAGAGTTCCACCATCACTACTCCACTACATGTATTTTTAGAACTTTAGTTACTTTTTATAACCAGATTAATACAAAAAAATACAGTATAATTACATCTCATGGGTCTATGGTGGAAAATTCACAAGCTATCCAGCAGTAATTCACATTAAATGCATATGAACTAGTTAAAACTAGCTCCATGTTTACCAGCTACAACATTAAATGTGATGTACACAATAATACATCAGTAATTACAAGACAATACAATATATGATATACAGGAATGTAAAATGTTCCATTCTGCATAATGAGAACTTTAAGATGTTTTGATGCTAATACTTTTGTACTTCAGTAACATTTTAAATGCAAGATTTTATTCGCAACAGAGTATTTTACACTGTTGATACTTTTACTTAAGTAAAGGATCTGAGTACTTCTTCCACCACTGGTTCTAATGTACCTTAAAGGGACCCGAGGTAACTGCGATTACAGAGAGAAGTCCAGTAGTCTCTGGTGAACACAGCCGTGTTTGTCTGTCCCAACGCTGCCTCCTCCTCCGCTTTCTCGTCTTCATACCAGTTGTGTATCTTGGTTACAGTGGTGGCTTTGAAGGAAGTTCATATGTGGAGTCTTTGGATGCAAATTATTTAAAGCAGACCATTGTCCTCCACAATGTTAATCAGCCTGCAAGCTGCAGCCACTCATTTAGCTATCACTGTTGATTGTAGCGTTGTCCAGGTGTCTCCATTGCAAACCTTCCAGCAAAACCATTGCTGAACAAATCTATAAATATTATAACTTTCCTTTCATATATTGATGCATCAGTCAACATTGCACACATAGTGACACAGACCAAAAGCATAGCTTGTGAAACATGTAGCATCTCCTGTGAAGCTTGTGTTCATGTCTACCAGGTGCATTCACTCTCGTATTGCAGTGTTTCCCATACATTATCAGGGTGTCCGTGGGGTTTTAAAAAGTATTAAAAAGTGATTAATCAAAATCGCCAAATTTAAGGCCATTAAAAAGTGTTTAATTTGGTTTAGAGTTTTTTTTTTTAAATAGGTATTATTTTTTCAGACTATGGTGTCCTATTCTGATTGAAATTTTATCTGCTAAAGTTTGCGCTAGTTCGTTTAAATGTGGGCTTTAGCATATTGGGGCACATAATCAAAGATCCTCGTCTAGTCTCAACTTTGTGTTTGATGCCGACGTCATATTCAGTGGTCGTTCGACGTCTCAAACACTTTGCGCGCTCAGCTCAACTGGATAGCCAACTGGCTAGCTTACGTTGTTGACTAGTTTAGGCGTATCTTCAACGTCCAGACAACCATCGTCGTCGTCATGGGCAAATGCAACTTTTCCGACAGCTGGTTGGAAGACCCAGCATTTAAGGACTGGCTCAGGCCTGCAGTAGGGAATAACCAGCAGGCTTATTGTTCGGTTTGTAAAAAAAAAAAACATAAATGTCAACTGTATGGGAGCTAGCGCACTTCGGTCGCATATGCAATCCACTAAACATAAAAATGGAATGCGCGGTAGGCGAGAGCAATTAACTCTACTCTCAACTTTCAACTTTCTGTGCTGCTGCACCACCACCACCGCAAACTAGTGCCACAGTACAAGCCAATGTTGTGGTTCCAGGAACTACGTCTGACCGCCGGGTGACTATGGACGCCACACCAACACTGCGAGCGGAGGACCCGTGGTGTCTAAACACTGCAGTTAAACACCACTCATTGAACTCCAAC